ATATTGATAAGTAATATTGAACAAAAGATGTTCAAAACCATGTTCTGAACAATATGCAACCTTTTATTTTTCGCTAAACGTCACCATTAAGGAGTTGAAGGGCTGGCCCCTAACTATTTCTTATGTGAATAACTCAAAAACGGAAAAAAATTCTCTGAATAGTTGTTGAACAAAAAGTCAACAAAATCATGAGAGCTTTCAGATGATATGAAGGAAAAAGGGCCGATCCCTAATGTTTGAGGCCGTGAGGGACCAAAAGTTTATTTTTTGAGAGTCTTTAATGTTCAATGTCTTTTTACAGATTATGGAAAATCATTATTTTAGAATGAAAATCTCAATCAAAATCTTATCTCATCTTATCAAGAATCGGACGGAAGACCCACTCGTTGCTCGCAACGAGATCGTATCTAGTTATTGTTATTATTATTTTTCTTCTTCCTGGGAAAATCTTTTCCGCGAATGATCTTGTAAACTACATGTCCGACTTAGGTGAAACCTTTTTAGGGTCAGTAGGCATGTTATGTAGATTTGCGGAACGAAGGTCATTTTGCGCGCACGTGCTTGCAAGAGCGCGCACGTGCAACGCGTGAAATGACCAAAATAATAGATACAGCCGTAACTTTTCTATTTTTTGATTATATGCTTTGATACTCATAATATAAGTATATATTAGTAATATAGACGTGTTGACATGGTCAAAATAGCAAGATCTCACGCGCATGCACGTGCGCTTCGCTCTGATTGGCTGAAACTAAAGTCTCAATATCTTTCTTGTTTTTCGTCATAATCCTTTGAAATTTTGAACTTAGTCACACAATATGAAGATCTACAGCATGATTTATAATATATTCATGAAAGCACGTACATGCGCGTTTGCTGGCAAGAGCGCACGTGCAACATGTGAAATTACCAAGATAATGGATGAAGCCGTAACTTTTCTATTTCTTGATGGAATTTTTTGAAACTCACAATGCATGAATATAGTAGTAGTATGTACAAAATGACATGGTCAAAATTGCAAGATCTTACGTGCATGCACGTGCGCTTTGCTCTGATTGGCTGAAACTAAAGTCTCGATATCTTTCTTGTTTTACGTCATAATCCTTTGAAATTTTGAACTTAGTCACATATTATGAAGATCTACCGCATGATATATAAGAATTATCATGAAAGCACATAAATCCACGTGTGCTGCAATCTGATTGGCTGGAACTTTACATGCCTATATCTTTCTTGTTTCTCAACAAAACAGGATGAAGTTTAGAATATGAATAGGTATTATGGATTCCTACATGATATTGCTATCAAAATTGAATGCAAGGACGTGCTTGCATGCACATGCGCACACGCAATGCGTAAAATGAACAATATGTTTGAAAAACGGTAAAATTTATATTTTTATGACTTTTTATTGATTTCTGGAATATAAAGATATGTTAATGGTTTAGACAACATATCATGATCACCTTGCATGTGCATGCACGTGCGTTTGCGAACAATGCGTTAAATGACAAAAAGTTGATATCATTGTAGCTTTTAAAATTCTTTTATGAAATCCTGCGATACTAAGCATATTGAAAAAAAGTTTTAAAGGAACTTTGCACAAAAAGGGAGTTGGGGAGCGTTTGGGGAACATCTGTAACGGTCCCCGTTACAATTAGAACTAGTTATTTTTCTTCTTCTTCCTGGGTACTTTTTTGTCCGCGAGTGTTCTTGTAAACTGTTCATCCGAAGTAGGTAAAACCTTTTTAGGGTTAGTAGACATGTTATGTAGATTTGCGGAATCAAGGTCATTTTCCATGCACGTGCTTGCAAGAGCGTGCACGTGCAACACGTGAAATGACCAGTATAATAGATATAGCCGTAACTTTTCTATTTTTTGACTATATGCCTTGAAACTCATAATATAAGTATATATTAGTTGTAGATGCATAATGACATGTTCCTCGCGCACGTGCTTGCAAGAGCGCGCACGTGCAACACGTGAAATGACTAATATAATAGATATAGCCGCAACTTTTCTATTTCTTGATGAAATGCTTTGAAACTCATTATATAAGGATATATTAGTAGTATAGACATGATGACATGGTCAAAATAGCAAGATCTCACGCGCATGCACGTGCGCTTCGCTCTGATTGGCTGAAACTAAAGTCTCAATATTTTTCATGTTTCTTGTCATAATCTTTTGAAATTTTGAACAAATTCTTAAATTATGAAGATCTACAGCATGATATATAAAACTTTTCATGAAAGCATGCGCATGCGTGCGTGCTGCAATCTGATTTGCTGAAACTTTAAATGGCTATATCTCCTTTGTTTTTTGACGAAATGCTTTGAAATTTAAAACATAGTCATGCAGTAGGATATCCTACAATACGATATAGAAAGAAAATCATGAAATCACGCGCATGCACGTGTGCTGCAATTTGATTGGCTGAAACTTTAAATGGCTTTATTTATTTTGTTTTTTGACGAAATGTATGGAACTTTAAATATAGTCATTCATTAAGATATCCTTCAATACGATTAAGATAAAAAATTCATGAAATCACGCGCATGCATGTGTGCTGCAATCTGATTGGCTGAATCTTCAAATGGCTATAACTCCCTTGTTTTTTAACCAAACAGGATGGGATTTTGAACATAGATAAATATAAGGGACTCCTACAAGAAGGTGTATTCTTCATGCACTTGCTTGCACGTGCGTGCACGTGAAATGAGTGAAATTAAAAATACACTCGAATGAGTGTATTTTTTAATACTTCTGAATAACATCTTTGATATATTAAAATATATAGATAGTGTAGACAAGATAATATGGCTGTTATGCACATGAACACGCGTACAATGCTTAAATTTAAATATATTTTGTATTCTTCTGGAAAGACCTTGATAAGTTTAAATTCCATTAAGTATTTCTTATTTAATAGAGATTACAGGGAATATGGCACCAAAAGGGAGTTGGGGAGCGTTTGGGGAACAGAAAACGGTCCCCGTTACAATTAGCACTAGTTTATAATTTATTTTTGTTTAATAGTTATGATTTCATTGAATTCTAATCACAAGAAATAGATTAAAGAAGATTTTTTTAATTTGCTTTTTTCACTTTATGTTAATTTAAGAATATTATTAATTTTTAGGATAATTGTATAAAAAACCCATTCTATCATTAATACTGAAAAAGTTCTTATTGTAACTTTAGAAGAAAATGATGAGAGAGGTAGTCAATTAATCCCTCGGGATTAATTATCTAGCCTGCTGCAGAAAATTTAGAAGGCTTATCTTTATCTGTCACTTTAAGGTTAATGAGAACCTTTGTCTGCAACTGCTGTTTGTTTGAAGTTAAGGTCAAGCCTTCATGATATCTGCATTCATTGAAGGCTGGCATTTTATATAACACAAGCCTCATAATTGTTTAAGGTTCATCGATACTCTGATAAGAGAGATAACTCTACAGATAAGAAAGATAACTTTCTGCAGACATTTTGTCATGAAATTCAGTAATTTGTCATGCCAGAGTTTACAAATCTCTATCTGGACCATTTTATTGTTAACTCAAGCAAACCTATCCCATGGTTCAGAGGTTGATTTCTAGTTTTATTGCTAGTATATTAAAAAATTATTTTGAATAGTTTACCTAAAACATTTATGCTCAGTTCCTTTAAATGGTGTAAATCGATAAAAAAATCTATTTCTTAACGTGAAAGTCTTAATAGTTGTAAAGAAATAAAAGCCGCAGAATTATTTATAAACATTTAATTGATATTTTATTTCATTAAAAAAGAATTTCAAGGGCGATAATGGAACGATAACTCTTGCTTATGGATGCATTTTATTTTACATGCACAAAAAACAATTTGATATTCTGATTTAAAAAGCATCGCTCCAGTATGTTTTCTAAAGGGAATCAGATAGGTATGAGAGTAGATATTATTTTTATATATACCTCATATTTCTAATTTAATTGTGAGATTAAAAATAATTGATCTTTCTAATGACCATATCAAATTTTCTTCAAATCATGATTTGACATATCATCTATTTCTGAAAAAGTAAGCAACGCTTCATACTTCAAACTATTTTTTATTTGAATTGAATGTTATAGTTGTTGCTGAAAATCAATGTTTGGAATTTTAAAAAAAAGTTGTGAAATGTGGAGCAGAGGGATACTGTCCCTTAAATATACATTCAATGTTAAATTGTTCTTTACTGTCTAATGTAAATACAAGGATATTATTTTCAGGTTTTTGAATATTCAAGAATTATCTTGAAATTTTAAGAATACAGTTGCTTTGTACATTTTTTGATCATTCCGTAAGCTGCGACCTATTAATTCTACCCCATGGCGGGGCCCTTGCTGACTGGTCAGTTTTCTAGTTTTTTTTGTATTTAATATGTACATTACTTTGATATATTATGTCAGCTGAATTTTATTATTATGAAAATTAATAAATAAGAGTGTGCTATTAACTGCACCCACACACTATCAATTTAATAAGAGATGTCAGACAAGTCAGTGATATTTGAGTGTTCTAGGGGTTTATTTTATTAGTTTTATGTTCATTGCAATACCTGGTGTGCAATCTGAACATGGGATGAATTACTGTCAATGTGTAGGGATACAATGTCTTATCTTAACTGTTATTATCTTAGATGCTTTTTTTCCATTGTGAAAGGGCAAAAATAACCCTATACACTATATTTGATTTGAGGTGGAAGTGTTGCTAGCCTCACAGGACCTGAATATACATCAAGATTAAGAGAATTATGAGATTATATTAGTCAACGTGTCAAAGTTTTATGTCAAAACATGTAAAAAAAAAAAAAAAAAAAAAAAAAAAAAAAAAAAAAAACAGTATCATCAGCAAGTAACAGTGCAATCATTTGAAATATCTTTGGTTGTCAACATATTCAATAATTTATCTTTAGATGATTGGCTCTGGGATAAAATGAATTAACATCAATTTATAATTTTACTATATTTTTTTTCACTGTAGACATCCACATTTGCCATGTCTACAGGTGGGACAAGAACATAAACACACATATCTTCCATTAGAGGTAAGTGTTTTATTTAGATCTACCAGTGTCATGGGTATTTGTTTAGATCTACCATTGTAACTATGGAGTTTTTCATTTTAATATAGCTTATGATTTAATTTATCTGGAGTACCTGCAGGCAACATGTGTTCTTTATTGGTGACTCTTGCAACATTCATTTTCTGTGATTTCTTAAATTAAATGATGCATTCAGTACAAACTGCAAAGCAGAATCCTTTTATTTAAAGTCTCATCTTGAAATATCAGTACACTCTTATAAAGACATGTTCAGTATTCACAATTATAGTTATATGCCTTGAGAATTTGGAGGTATATATATTCTTTCCTTATTGTAGGTTTGTAATGTTGTTGGAGGCCAGAGATGTATAAAGAAATTGACTGATCTCCAGACATCTACCATGATCAGGGTAAATAACTCTGTCTTAATGAAGTTAGAATACTGCTGTGGCAGTTATTGTAAACACTGTGAAAATTGTATTGATAAGGATGTTTCAGTATTGCTTTCAGCAGTTGTGTATTGTTCTGTATATTTTTTCTACAGGCAACGGCAAAGAATGCACCAGACAGAGAAAAAGAAATCAATACTTTGGTATGTAATTTAAAAAAATTAAACTTAAGAATGAAATTAAATTGTGACGTACAGTGTATTTTATATTAAATGAGACCTCCCATTATTATAAAATGTACATAATATATATAGGTCAAGAAGGCTAACTACAATGCGGACCCCCATCTGAGGACATTTGGAATCACTGTCAACCCTCAAATGATGGACCTGCATGGAAGAGTCCTGTCACACCCTAAACTGCAGTATGGGGGAGCGGTCAGTATTTATACAAGCATACAAAAGATCGACAGACATACAAAAAAATAGAAAAGTGTACAAAAAAGACACCCTCCCCAATTATAAATAAACGGGCTGTCAGTGTTTATAAAAGCATATAAAAAATTTACTGTCATCTGTTATGTTACTTGTGTACCAGGATTTCATAGGGGAAACAATCACTGTTAAACAGTCATACAAAATATATGCACCAATTTAGCTTTTCAAGATTTTATTTTGGTCATAAAATTCTAAAAAATGTAATGTACAATTGTATCTACTTCCAGACTAAAGCCCAGGCCCTGCCAAACCAAGGTGTATGGGACATGAGAGGAAAGCAGTTTTACTATGGAATAGAAGTGCGAGTTTGGGCCATTGCCTGCTTTGCTCCGCAGAGGAGTGTTAGAGAAGATGCACTTAGGTAAATATAAAAATTACTATTGTTTTTTTTTAAAATAATGTACATTTTGTTAGCCTTTCTGAAGTTTTGTTTCTTGTTCTTTTTATGATAAATTGTATTATTGGTAAAAATGGTAAAAGACCATATTAACTTGCCTACTTTAGAAAATGTATGCCTATGTACAGCAAAACCTGATATTTCTCTGATTTCATTGGCAGGAATTTTACCCAGCAGTTACAGAAGATATCTACAGATGCGGGCATGCCTATCCTGGGTCAGCCCTGCTTCTGTAAGTACGCCACAGGTCCAGACCAGGTGGAGCCGATGTTCAGTGTGGTACCTGAAGAATTAAAACCAAAAACACATACGCCGGACTACAGCTGATTGTGGTGGTACTACCTGGCAGAACACCAGTTTATGGTAAGACACCTGGCAAATCATTGTATGTGTAAGAAGTATTTAACAGTGTGTCCTTAAAATTCTGTATACTCATACATATTTCTCATGCAATTTTATAGAATTAAAACCAAAACAATTTTTTTCCATGTGTATCCATTTCTGCTTTCTTAGCAACCATTTCTGAGTGATGAAATTAAATGAGTATAAATATGGTACAAAGTTGTTTTTTTAATTACTGGGTATAGTGTTTTCTTTCTTGATTCTGTGTTATTTTAAAAGGTAATTTTGTTGAGTGGGTTTTGTAAGCAGATTTTCAGTCTGCTTTGATTTAATCCCATAACAGCACATCATGCATTTCAGTCATTTGTAAATTGAAAAAATAGAGAAAGTTGATAATGACAAGTCATTAAACAATTATTGGAAAATGTTATGTACAATGTCAGAGCCTATTGGAATTAAATGAATATGACACAACTTTTAACTTGTTTATAATGATGTTTTTGGTGAAACATAAACAAGATTTTTATATTTTAACAATTCACAACCTGATTTCTACCTTAATAATTACTCAGACATTTCTTTTTCACTTTTGCATGTACATGTACTTTGAGAAAGTGAAAATATTTATATTCACTAATTTTAGTCCTTATAACATGTAGGGTCCAAATGCTGGAAATGCATTAAAAACTTGATAAGTATTAAATAACAAGTATCGAGGCACAAAGCATTAATTCTGTGTATGTGATCTTATGTTTGTAGCTGAGGTGAAAAGAGTGGGTGACATCCTGTTTGGGTTAGCCACACAGTGCGTGCAGTCTAAAAATGTCAACAAGACTTCTCCGCAAACTCTGTCTAACCTCTGTCTGAAAATTAACGTCAAACTCGGAGGCATCAACAACATCCTACTGCCAAGTAGTAGGTAAGGGGTTAATGGCCATCTAGCATCAATACATTTAACTCAGTGAATGGTAATTGTTATCTTAATGAAAAGATGTGTATTGGTAATTTTCCATGGTTTGTGGCTTATGTGCTGTATATTTGCTTTGTAGACCCCTTGTGTTTCGAGAACCAGTTATTTTCCTGGGGGCTGACGTGACACACCCTCCTGCTGGGGACACCAGCAAGCCCTCCATAGCAGCTGTAAGTTGAAAGTCACAATCAAATACTACATGTTTATGACAGGTTTTTTTTGCATATCACAGTATTTGCAAAAATACCTGAAAGACTTGTTTTAAAATTATATTGTCCTAATTTTTGCAACTCTGTTTGTTATGCCCCGCCACGAATATGGCTGGAGCATATATTGTTTGACATGTGCATCTTCCGTCCTTATGTCCTTCTGTCTGTCCTTCCGTCACACTTTGCGTTTAGCTCTGTTCAAAGCTCAGTTTCAAAGAAACTATCCAAGATATTTTCATCAAACTTCATATGCTAATAGATATTGATGAGAGCTATGCAACTGCATCAACATTTTTTGACCTTGACCATTTCTTTGACCTTGACCACACTTTTCTTAAATTAGTGTTTAGCTCAATTTTAAACATACCATTCAAGATGGTGTTATCAAACTTCACATGTTGATACATACTGATGAGAACTATTCAACTGCATCACCATTTTGACCTTGACCTTTCCTTTGGCCTTGACCTCACTTATCTTTAATTAGTGTTTAGTTAAATTTTTAAAGATACCATTCTAAATATTTTTATCAAACTTCATATGTTGATACATATTGATGAGAGATATGCAACTGCATCAACATTTTTGACCTTGACCTTTCCTTTGACCTTGACCTCACTTTTCTTAAATCAGTGTCAAACTTCATATGCTGATACATACTGATGTAAGCAATTCAACTGCATCAACATTTTTGACCTTGACCTTTTATTTGACCTTGACCTCACTTATCTTTAATTAGTGTTTAGCTCAGTTTTAAAGATACCATTCAAGATATTTTTATCAAACTTCATATGCTGATACAAACTGATGAGAGCTATTCAACTGCATCAACATTTTTTGACCTTGACCTTTCCTTTGACCTCACTTTTCCTAAATCAGTGTCAAACTTCATATGTTGATACATACTGATGTAAGCAATTCAACTGCATCAACATTTTTGACCTTGACCTTTTATTTTCCTTGACCTCACTTTTATCAAATTATATAAGTCAGTTTTAATTAAAGAAATCATTCTAGATATTTTTATCAAACTTCATATGTTGATACTAGGGATGGGTATCGCCAAAAATTTCGTATCGCGATATATCACGATTTTTCCCCAAAATATCACGATAATATCATGATATTTTTGCAAGCAATTTTTACAATGATTTTAAATAAATAGTGTTTTTTCTTAAAAATAAGCTAGAAAAACAAAATTTCAATTTTTATGCACATAAAATTAATCATGTCTGGAAGGTAAGATGCCGTTCTTTTCACCTTTTACAACATTTTTTAATCTTTCTGTAATTGTTTTTTGAAAGATTGAACAAATAAATGAATAATTTCTTGACTTTATAATATGTACCTAAATACTAGTATTTAGATCTCCGTATCACGATACGTATCACACAACAAAAAATCGCGATATACCGGTATACCGATAAAATCGCACATCCCTAGTTGATACATATATATTGATGAGAGATATAAACATTTTTGACTTTGACCTTTCCTTTGACCTTTGACCTCACTTTTCTTAAATCGGTGTCAAACTTCATATGCTGATACATCTTGATGAAGCAATTCAACTGTATTAACATTTTTAACCTTGACCTTTCATTTGACCTTGACCTCACTTTTATCAAATTGTTTTCAAGTCAGTTTTAAAGAAACCATTTATAATATTTTTTTTCAACTTCTTATGTTGAAACATACTGATGAGAGCTTTTCAACTGCATCAACAGTTCTTGACCTTGACCTTTCCTTTAACCTTGACCTTATTTTAATGAAATTAGTGTCAAACTTCATATGCTGATACATACTGATGTAAGCAATTCAACTGCATCAACATTTTTAACCTTGACCTTTTATTTGACCTTGACCTCACTTATCTTTAATTAGTGTTTAGCTCAGTTTTAAAGATACCATTCAAGATATTTTTATCAAACTTCATATGCTGTTACATACTGGTGAGAGCAATTCAACTGCATCAACATTTTTGACCTTGACCTTTCCTTTGACCTCACTTTTCCTAAATCAGTGTCAAACTTCATATGTTGATGCATACTGATGTAAGCAATTCAACTGCATCAACATTTTTGACCTTGACCTTTTATTTTCCTTGACCTCACTTTTATCAAATTATATAAATCAGTTTTGATTAAAGAAATCATTCTAGATATTTTTATCAAACTTCATATGTTGATACTAGGGATGGGTATCGCCAAAATTTCGTATCGCGATATATCACGATTTTTCCCCAAAATATCACGATAATATCATGATATTTTTGCAAGCAATTCTTACAATGATTTTAAATAAATATTGTTTTTTCTTAAAAATATGCTAGAAAAACGAAATTTCAATTTTTATGCACTTAAAATTAATCATGTCTGGAAGGTAAGATGCCGTTCTTTTCACCTTTTACAACATTTTTTAATCTTTCTGTAATCTGAAAGATTGAACAAATAAATGAATAATTTCTGGACTTTATAATATGAACCTAAAAACTAGTATTTAGATCTCCGTATCACAATACATATCACGCAACAAAAAATCGCGATATACCGGTATACAGATAAAATCGCACATCCCTAGTTGATACATATATATTGATGAGAGATATGCAACTGCATCAACATTTTTGACTTTGACCTTTCCTTTGACCTTTGACCTCACTTTTCTTAAATTGGGGTCAAACTTCATATGCTGATACATCCTGAGGAAGCAATTCAACTGTATTAACATTTTTGACCTTGACCTTTAAATTTTTTTGACCTCACTTTTATCAAATTGTTTTCAAGTATTTTAAAGAAACCATTTACATTTTTTTTTAACTTGTGTATGTTGAAACATACTGATGAGAGCTTTTCAACTGCATCAACAGTTTCTGACCTTGGCATTTCCTTAGATCTTGACCTCGTTTTAATGAAATTAGTGTCAAACTTCATATGCTGATACATACTGATGTAAGAAATTCAACTGCATCACTATTCAAGATATTCTGATCAAATTTCATACTCTAATACAAATTTTCATGTTGCATTACTAATATACCGACGGCAGGCCATTCATGTCCTATGGACATATTTCTAGTTGTTTATGACTTATCATAGTTATTGATGTGGTAAATTGTTTATAAGTTTATGTGAATTTATTTATTTTGCAAGCTTAAAGCACTAGCAAAGCAAGTGAAAATTGAATTGCTGCTAAAAATACCCGTTAAAAATACCTGTTGTATATAAAGTATTTGAATTAATTAAATCAAGATCAGGGAATCTTTTAGCTATGTAAAAATGGCATCATCCATTGTTTTTAGGTGGTTGGTAGTATGGATGCCCACCCAAGTCGGTACTCGGCCACCGTAAGGGTCCAGGAACACCGTAAGGAAGTGATAGAGGAGTTCTGCTCGATGGTCCGTGAACTTCTTATCTCCTTCTACAAGTCCACACAATTCAAACCAACCCGCATCATCATCTACAGGGACGGGGTCAGTGAGGGCCAGTTCCAGAAGGTAATTAATCATAATTCTTTATGTTTATGAGTAGTGTGTTTATGCTCTGTATATTTAGACAGTGTGAATTTCCCTCTTCATGGAATGGAATCCAATCTTTTTAGAAAAGTTGTTATTGTTTCAATTTTTTTTTCCACTAATGATATATTTCTTGGTATTTCTTTATACTCAAACCGTTTGTATGACAGGTGCTTGCCCATGAGCTGAGAGCAGTAAGGGAGGCATGTATGAAGCTGGAGATCGGATACCAGCCCGGAATAACATTTATAGCTGTTCAGAAGCGACATCACACTCGATTGTTTTGTGCCGACAGGAAGGACCAGATAGGACGCAGTGGAAATATCCCAGCAGGCACCACTGTGGATGTGGGAATCACACACCCCACTGAGTTTGATTTCTACCTATGCAGTCATGCTGGAATTCAGGTAATCAGGAAGCTTACATGAAAATTAGGGCTGGGACGATATATCGAGATATCGATATATCGTGATATTTGTGAGGACGATACACATATCGATACATATAAAGAAATATCGAAATATCGCCCAAAAAATCTTACTTCTATTTTTCTTTGCTTATTTAACATTTGGGGTTTATATATAAAATAAATAAGCTAAATGTAAATATAGATATGGAATAAATTATTCTTATTTGCAAAGAAATAATTTGTTTATTTCAATGCAAAAAAAAGATTTTATAAGCAATTAAACATATCGTGATACATATCGTATCGTGGCTTAAATATCGTGATACTTATCGATATAGTAAAAGTTGTATCGTCCCAGCCCTAATGAAAATGTATAACCTGTGTTGACATTCAGTATCTGAAATAACAGTTCCACTCATAGATCTCTTCTCTATTAACTTGTTGGTTTCATGCTACATTTGTTTTCTGTTATTTTTTGAACAGAGAAATACAATATCAAAGATAAGCAATTTGCTAATTCATCAAACTTACACAATTCTTTTGCATAACAATGTGATGAAACTTTTCCAAGTAGATTACGAACATTTAAAATATACTGTAAAATTTGAATTTGGAATGATTTATTAGTAATGTAATTAATGGATTTATTTACTTACAGGGCACAAGTCGGCCCTCTCATTACCATGTGTTGTGGGATGACAATTGTTTTAAAGCAGACGAGCTTCAACAACTGACATATCAGCTGTGTCACACATACGTACGATGTACACGCAGTGTATCAATCCCCGCTCCAGCGTACTACGCTCATTTAGTGGCATTCAGAGCACGATATCATCTGGTAGAGAAGGAACATGACAGGTTTGTACTCAAAATGATTCCCACTGAGATTACACTAAAGTCAATAAAAGATTATAATCAGGCGCGGATCCAGGAATTGAAGTTAGAGGGGGCGCCAAAAGTAGACAAGGGGTCTGGGGGCCGCCTTGAGACCCCCAGTAGGTCCAGGGCAAAGTTCTGGTGGGGGCCCAGGGGGCGAAGCCCCCAGAAGCTCCTGGGTTCTAGAGATTTTGTAGGGTAAAAATGAGGTCTACCAAGTAGACATATTTACATTTTCTAGACGAAACTGTGATTTACGTTAACTTTGACAATTTTAGGGGGGGGCGCGCGCCGGGTGCACCCCCCCTTAAATCCGCCACTGATAATTCAACAATGGTTCCACTTGTTGAAGAAAATTGGTACTCTGCTATATGTTGTCCTTATAGATTTAGTTTGAGATAATATAGATAATACATGCATGAAAAAACTGTTGTAATGTTGGTTTGATATGTTTTGTAATATTTTTATCTACAGTGGAGAAGGAAGCCGTCATTCTGATGAAATGGAAAGGACACCTTCTGCCATGGCTCGAGCCATTGCAGTTCATCCAGACACTGTGAAGGTCATGTACTTTGCCTAGGTCAAGGACACCACCATAATAAAGACAAAAGCTTGTCAAAAGCTCACCAGAAAAGATATCTGACAGAAACCAGCTCAGTCAAACCTCGGAAAGTGCTAGTACTGAAGATTCTAGTCATTGGCCACCAATGTACTACACACTTTTATTTTTCTCTTGTATTTTTTCAACATCTTTTTTGAAACCTTCTTTTCATCTAGTTTTTTTTTCATCAGATGAATTGGTCATTTTGTGTGAATAAAGAACACCAAACTTTTTTTCCTGTCAAATAAAGTGCTAATTTCACTTTTAAAAGTTTTTTCCCCCTACAATATTTTGTAAATTTATTTGATATAAATGTATGCATGTTCTTGTTTTTAGTTCCCACAATTTATGTCTGTTTTGACACTAAATATTTCATTTGGGGCAGTCCTATGATTTCTGTTGTTCTGAACAATTTGTTGATAACTTGGAGATCAATGACGAGATCAGCTGAACATTATATGAATAAAATAAGATGCAGACATTTGCAATAAAGTGTGAATATGTCATAAAAGAGGTGATGGGGTTGTTCAATCTTTACCATTGTGGTTTATATATATTGTTCCATTTTTCTGTTCAGTACAGTAGAAATATTCATATTTTTCCATCTTGTTAGTAGAATCTCATAATTCAAAGCAAATATCCAATTACCAAAAATAAACTTTGATAATTTTTTTTGAACATTTAAAATTGTAAAAGGAAAAATTGCTTTTGATATACTTGTATTTAATCTGAACTTGAAATATTTATCTTTAATCTAGAATGAAAAGATGTTTCATCTACACTGGATTTAATCAGCTGCTATTTTTCATACATGTACACCCGTACTTTGTCCCACTTTGAATTTTATATTTTCATATCATGTTTTTTCATGTTTATAGTGTCACATAAGCCGGGAAAATCATTGTTATATTTAGACATTTTATGACTTTCTCTATTGAGACCAAACATTATATTTCACCAGTGTTTGATGTGCATTACAATTTTTGTTTACAATTTCTCAAATACATCTGCAGATTCATCATTAACCATTTATTCTTGGATTGTTGCTTTTTGAAAGAATTTTGATTCTTTACTTTACTTTTTCATGAATCTTGTTATTATTATCAATATTATACATTGTTAGTGCTCAATAATGTAAAGTAAAAATTGAGAAAATTTTCCATAGATAAATTTCAGTCTTGGTTAGTAAAGGTATTTTAAGTGTTCTAGTCCATGAAAAGTTCTGAAACATGAAATAAGCTTAATTTGTTGTATGCAAGAAAATACTGCATAAATAGTACAATGTGGTGAACTACATGTATTTCCCAATTTTTTGTCTCTAATCATGTCAAAGAGTACTCAGTTGTCATCTACCACAAAGCAATGAAATGGCTGTGTAAAAAAGATCAATAATTATATATTGTCTATAATCAGTGTGTTTTACCCTTTATACACGTGTTTGTACAGCACTATCTCCTTTTTTTGTTAGGACAGTATATTTTGTTATAGAATAATGTAAAATTACTGTAATTTGGTGCAAATGTATGGTACCATGTAAACAATATATTTAATAATTAGTAGTAATAAGTAGAAATAATATAATAGAATTAAATAATTGCTGTAAATGTGGAAAAGAAAAAAATACCATCAAAAACTATAGTTTATACATTAATAATGAACAACTAGATTTTCCGCATTTGCAGCACTTTAAATAGCAATAGGCATGTGTAATTATTGCATGATGATCTTGTGTTTTATTCTGATTTATGACAACAAATATTATCGGTCTGAAGTTTCATCAACAATGTGGGCAGCTAATGGTATGATAAAGAATCAAGTACAAAGTGGTATTTTGGGAGGGATTTCATAGTTTGTCCCAGCATGAAGATGTATGATGCTTCTCATACAGCTAGATCATCCAACAATTGAGACATTTCAGGCCTATTATTGTTGCAGAAGGTTGTAAACAAAGATTTAATATGATATATATTATTTACACTAATTCAGTTTTTCAGTGCATAGTGTTCAGTTTATTATTAGAGAATTAAATTATACTCAAAGAATTATTGATACATGACATTGATGCTGGGATAAATTATGAATGTTTAACATATTTGTCATTACAGAGCATTCTTTTAAGGTAAAAATGCAACATTGAATCCATTGAATAAGTTTATCATTTTTAACAAAAGTTTACTAAAGCACAACTTTATTCATATCCTATATACAGTATATTTAAAATATGTTGTCATTTATCTGTTAAATATTTGTTTTTTATCTGTTATAATTGTAGGTTTACAGCTTAAGATTAACAAAATAAAATATTTGTCTTTTACATGTGGTTTTCCATAATTCTATATAGGAGGAACCCCACACTTGCATATACGTATGTACCTGATTGTTTAATTAGGACAAGAAGGCAAATATAAAGAAATGGGGGAAAAAATGTTTAAACAGTTGAACTTCGGCATCTCAAACATTGATATCTCGAATACCATGGATACATCGAAGTGATTTGGAAGTCAAAACCTTCTTTAAGTATTTTACCCTCGATATCTCAAATCATCGCATATCTCAAAGTTTTTACTCTGACAGTCCCATCAAGTCAGGTAACAAGATTTGACTTTACCTATTTGGACTATTTCTGTTGTTGAAATAGTTAAAAGTTTGTAGTGTAAAAGTTTGCTTTGATCTATGAGTGAGGTATATATATATTGGTCTTCACCTTAAATTGCACGACTCAGTTTTGTAGTCGTCAGGTCTTGAACCCACTACCTTCGAATCACAGAGCAAGCACTTCACCAAATGAGCTTCCAAAGTGGTCTTCTCAAATTTGAGAAATAAATTTCTTTAATGATGCTTAACAACTTCTCTTGACTGAAATAAGGTAAATTGAGGTATAATTGTGGACAAAAACAAGATTAAAATGTTTTTGAAGCATATCTGCCCTTCCAGTGTGGAAATATTAAAAGGATCACTTTATTTTAATGTAATGATAGTGAAAGAATAAATAAAGTAAAAAGTATCAGGACAATATCTCCAACAATCTTTCTGCTTGTGCAATGAAACTGAATACAAGTAGTTGCATGTTCTCAAAGACATTAAGGAAGACTCTAATAATTACGAATTCATGCATTCTGTCTTTTTGTATCATTTGAGTTTCCAAGTAATATTTCATTACCATAAAAAATCTTTAAAAGCGATTTTGTGAATATCCCGGCTCATTATGGTTTTGAAAAGCCAACTCTTGATTTTGATGTCAATGGTCAAGGTCAGACATTAATATATTGCAAAAAATGGCTTCCAGATTTCAGTTTTCTTTGGGCTTTTCCAGCAAAAGAATGAGTACCATTTTGAAAGAGTTCCATGTGTAATTCTATTTTAAGAAACCACTGTATTAGCATCTTTAAAAGTATTCATGCTTGTGTCACTGCCAAATTTAACCAAAATTACGCTAAAACAAATTCTTCCACTTTCAGTAAGCCACAAATTGATTTAGCAGAATAAACACCTAGACGAAATGAAAGATAATAGACACATCAACATTTCAAAGGGTCTTTTGGTTTTCATTCAGTAGAGCTTAATTTTTCCTTCAGTAAATCGACAGATCATTCTACTATCAAATTTCAAACAAGAGGCCCATGGGCCACATCGCTCACCTGAGCACTAAGGGTAGGAAAAAGTAAAGAATGGCTTTTTATTGTAAAGTTTAAATCCAAAAGTAGTCCCATGACCAATCATGGATTTGCTATTTTTTAGAAAATGTATTTTAAAGAATTTTTCTATCTATATCTTTAAAAACTTTGGTCGGCCATTTTGGCCCCGCCCTACCCCCGGGGGTCATGATTTGAACAAACTTGAATCTACACTTGAGCATGCTTCCATATAAATATGATGAATTATGGCATTGTCATTCTTGAGAAGAAGATTTTTAAAGAATTTTCCTATATATTTCTATGTAAAACTTTGGTCGGCCATTTTGGCCCTGCCCTACCCCGGGGGGTCATGATTTGAACAAACTTGAATCTACACTACCTGAGCATGCTTCCATATAAATATGATGAATTATGGCATTGTCATTCTTGAGGAGAAGATTTTTAAAGAATTTTCCTATATATTTCTATGTAAAACTTTGGTCGGCCATTTTGGCCCCGCCCTACCCCCGGGGGTCATGATTTGAACAAACTTGAATCTACACTACCTGAGCATGCTTCCATATAAATATGATGAATTATGGCGTTGTCATTCTTGAGGAGAAGATTTTTAAAGAATTTTCCTATATATTTCTATGTAAAACTTTGGTCGGCCATTTTGGCCCTGCCCTACCCCCGGGGGTCATGATTTGAACAAACTTGAATCTACACTACCTGAGCATGCTTCCATATAAATATGATGAATTATGGCGTTGTCATTCTTGAGAAGAAGATTTTTAAAGAATTTTCCTATATATTTCTATGTAAAACTTTGGTCGGCCATTTTGGCCCCGCCCTACCCCCGGGGGCCATGATTTAAACAAATTTGAATCTACACTACCTGAGCATGCTTCCATATAAATATGATGAATTATGGCATTGTCATCTTTGAGAAGAAGATTTTTAAAGAATTTTCCTATATATTTCTATGTAAATCTTTGGTCGGCCATTTTGGCCCCGCCCTACCCCCGGGGGCCATGATTTGAACAAACTTGAATCTACACTACCTGAGGATGTTTCCCCATAAGTTTCATCTTTCCTGGCACAGTGGTTCTTGAGAAGAAGATTTTTAAAATTTGCCACCAAATTTTCATTAATTCCCAATTATCTCCCCTTGAATAAGGGCGTGGCCCTTCATTTGAACAAACTTGAATCCCCTTCACCCAAGGATACTTTGTGGCAAGTTTGGTTGAAATTTTGAGAAGAAGTCGAAAATGTGAAAAGTTTACAGACAGACGGACAGACAGACAGACGGACGCCGGACAAAATGTGATCAGAAAAGCTCACTTGAGCTTTCAGCTCAGGTGAGCTAAAAAATCTTACATAAAATTATTACCAGTAAATTTTCAAGAATAATTGTTAAATTGATTTATTTCACTCTTAACATTTCTGAACATATCAAAATCAGCATGGAAGATAAAAATGTTGTAAAAGGTTTTGCAGGGTTTGGGAAAACATATTCTTAAATTCGATTTCAAAGTTTTAAACTTTCAAATCATAAATATGATATAAACTTTATATGTAAATACAGGTACATTTGAACATGTTTAAAAAACAATCCAACATAATTTAAAAAAAAAAAATCTTTCCTTCATACTTTTAATACATTTATGTATTATTATTTAGCTTTGAAGCTTTGTGTATACACATATATAAGCCATTACTAGTACATACCATTGACGATGGATATATTTTGTGTGTGTAAGTGGAGGCACAAATGATATTATAATAAATAGTTAAACTCATCCAGAGTTTGAAGATACAAAAAAACACAAATTAATGCCTTAACATAACATATAATTCTATAAGTGTTGCATAGATTGATTTATGGCATTCACAATGGCCGCTGAGTATCCTATACTATCCTCAGTCAGCTGATGGACGTTACCAAGGGTAACAATGTTTCCATGGTTATTAACTACAATGTTTTCATGAGAGACCATGACTTCCTGAGGCACTAGACTACTGGGGTGTACATGATGATTGGGGTCAATAATTGGGTCAGAATGGACTGCCACATTAGTCAGTGTATGAAGATTGCTGACCTCCACCACAGCTGGTGCTGCTGTCAGCTGAATTTGGTGGTTTCCGTGGTGACTGGGTTCTTGCTGTGGCGGTAACTGGAATTCCTGCAACTCAAACCCTGGCTGTGTGTCTGGAATCACATCCTCCTGGACTGAGATGTAATTGAGGGACATTGTGTTTCCGGATTTCCTGGCTAGCCGTGCAGCCTCTAACAGGCTGTCATCTCTGATATAACGCACCTCTAAATCCTTATGCTTCTGTTTGATGTGTTTGCGGGTATTTCCACCGGTTGCACAAGTGAATGTACAGTAAGGACACCTGTAGGGTTTGAATCCTTTCAGCTGATGCTGAATTCTAATGTGTTCGTTCAGCTTCTGTGAGGTTTTGGTCTGATATCCACAGTGAGGACAGTCATATTTTTTCTCAGAATGAGTCCACTGTTTGTGAGCTCTCAAGGTTGAGCTAGAAATGAATTTTTTATCACACATGTTACAAGAGTACTCCCGGATGTTCTTGTGTCCATTTAGATGAGTCTTGAATCTGTGTCCCAGTAGAGTCGTGAACTCGCAATGAGGACACTGAAACTCTTTCCTGGTGTCTTCTTTTGCTTTGACTTTGTGGACCATGAACAGGTGTGCTAAAGAAAGAAATATTTTATTGTTACAACACTAGAAAACTCTCAAAGCTGCCTAAGATCTTGAAGTCCCAGAGCTTGCATGTATTTTTACTTGCAGAAATTACTTTTAACTTCAAAAAATAATGTTATGCAATAAATAAGCATTTTTGAATTCCTTTTTTAAAATGTTTGATACTCAAGAACATCTACTTTCAACTTTCACTGAAAGACTAATGAAAAGCACTAATAAAATTTGTATATTTCATGGTAAATTCTACTTTATACATTGCTTCTTTAACTAAAAAATGCTCACTTATTCTTATTAATCAGAATATAATCTACTTGAATAACTTACTGTAGAATGTAGCTTTGTTGGCTGTAGCATATGGACAGTGTTCACACTGGAACTCTTTATCTGTGGAGTGACGGTTCTTGATGTGGGACTGTAACTCGGAATCCTCCCCAAACCTCTGACCACACACCTGGCACAGGTGAGGCCGAATCCCCAGGTGCATCTTGTTGATGTGCTTCTTCAGGGTTCTGAAATGTGGAGAGGGAAAATGCATTTGTATCTTCTGCAAAATTTTATGAAAGTGCTTAGCTCTCTTTTGAAATTTTTCTGTCTTGGTGAATTTGTGGATTTGTATGAAAATTTAACAATATTGGGAATAGAAATCATCAATAGTTTTAGGTCTGAATAAAAGTCTGCTTCTCTTTACTCAACTTTAAAAATACAAATTTACAGACTAGCAATAGGTCTAAACCTGGAATCAAGTCTGTTTCTCTTTTCTAAAATAAAGCACTTACACCTCTGTCTTGAGCTTGAGGGAGCAATAAGGACATTCGTAGTTTTTATCTGAGGAATGGCGCCTCATGTGGGACTTCAGACTGGAGCTAGACATGCATACTTTATTACAGCCATTGTGTTCACAACGGTACAACTGAAAACAAAAAAAAAGAAGAATATTTTATGTACATAGGAAAGAGGGAATCTGCAATTTTTAATACAAAGAAATAGATATTCATGAAGATGTCCAAAATACCTTCATTTCATCATGGTAAATTCCATGCTTGAGGAACTGATGCACATGAAGTTGAGAGTTCTTGCAGAATCTTCTTCCACATGTGTCACACTGTTTCTTCAGGTGTTCAGACCGACAGAGGTGCTTAACGATCATGTGCCGATTCAGGGTCTTCTTCACGTGAAATGTGAAGTTACACTCGGTACACTTGTACTCTACTTCTGGGTGCTCCTTGACGACATGAAGCTTCATGGTCACCATGTTTCCTGTGGTGAAGTTACACCCCTCTACTTCACAGGTGACGGAGTTCTTTAATGCCTCCCGCACTTCTGCTACCGTCCTCTTGTGCACCCAGCGTAAATGTGATTTGATCGTCCCTAGAGAGGAATAAGAACTGTCACATTCAGGACATGGGTACTTCATATCATCTAGCTGGTGCACTCCCTCAAAGTGACTTTTCAGGGCCTTGTTTCCAACAAAAGTCAGGTTACAATCTGGGCATTCCCACTTCTGCTGCAGGCGATACTTAGGATACCCTGTTAACTCTTTAGCTTTCTCAAAACTCAGATAATGTTTCTTGATAAGGTGGCTGGCATATATTCTGCCTTTAGAAAGCACAGAGTGGCAAAAGCAGCACTTTTCATACACTTTATTGGATGCTTTTCTCCTGTTTCTTTTTGTTGTTTTCCCCTTGTTTTTCTTTTTTGGACTAAATATGGATTTCATATTCTGGACATGTTTGGCAATTCTGTAATAAACCCCTTGTTTGTCCCCCTGATTGACCTGCATATGGTTTTCCTGAGTGTGTCTGTAGAACAGGCTATAATATTGAAAGCTGCAGGAGCACAGAGTGCACATGTACTTTTTAGGGTTGTCTGTCAATGTACAATAACGCATGGCTCCTGAACTCTTTGTGATGTTGCTCAATATTGCCCTGCTGTGGGTGTAGTTTAGAGGCATCTCCTTGTGTTGTATAACAGTGTGTCTCTTCAATGCAGAATAAGAGCTTAGTGTTTTTCCACAAGTCTCACATTTAATTTTAGCACCTTTGGGAATCCAGATTTTGGTTATCTTTTTAACTGCCACTTTGGTGACATTTTCCTTTTTCCTCTTTTTCTTGGTTTCTTTCCTCCATGTTTCCTTTGAACTTTCTTTCACCTTTCCTGCTTTGGGTTTTTTGTCCACTACTGGCCTCCGTTTTCCTCTATTTCTGGTAATCATTTGGTTATCTGTTAACACTGTGTCTCTTCTGCTATCTGGTTTTGTTATCTCCCCTTGCTGGACAGCATCTACGTTAACCTTACTCTCTTTTTTCTTTCTACCTCTTTTCTTTTTCTTTAACTGTACATCAGACAATTTGTTTTTTGTTAAACTTTTCTCTATGTCATGCGTCATATCACCTTCTGATGGAATATTGGTCTCTCTGGCCTCAGAATCTTGTACATGTACATCCTTGACAATTTCATCTGATTCAGCTGCACTCTTTAAGACTTTGGGATTCATTATCCCAGGCCATTCACTGGATATGTAAGCCTGTTGCAAGAGATCTTGTGCTGTTTCCATCTCTAAAACCACTGAAGCGTGGTAGAGAGAAATTCGCTCAGGTGGAGTGACACATAACTGACCTGTGTACATGAATTCCATCAGCACTTTAAACACAGCTGAGTCCACATCTGAAAAGTGAAACAGAACATTCAGTTATCAATCTACATCACTTAATAGTGTATTGTCACAATGGCTACACTGTCGAGCAAATTTAGCCAATGCCTCATCTAAATTCTACGAAGCAGAGCAGATTGAACCCTAGGCTAACAAAGATGTGCCAAGCAAGGATTTTGCAACATGCATATAAATGACAAATTGTCTTCATCTTCTTGAACTTGACAATCGCATAACATAATATCAATATTATACTTTCATGTAAATTAGTTAAATCTGATTGGTCGAGAAACATTTGTTAAAAAACAATATTACCCGCTGAATAATGAAGCCATGCCCTCCAGCATAGCAACAGTCAACATTGCTTGGCTACAGGTGATATTCCAAAAAAAATAGCGACTGCGCAGAATTTATGTGTGCACGGTTCACTGTTATATGTATTTGTATAAAACATTCTGTATAATATAATAAATATTGCATGTAGTTGAGTGTAACATTGAAAATTTTCACCCATCGAAAACCATTGTCAACCTTGTCTGCGCCTCGGTTGACAATGGTTTTCTTGGGGTGAAAATTTTCAATGTTACACTCAACTACATGCAATATTTATATAATATTACACATGTACAAGCTAACTACATGTACTATACCTATAGAAATGACCATGTTATAAGAATCTTGACGTCCCTTGATTTTCCTCTGGAAGTAATCGGAGAATGTTGACAGAACGAGTCGATGTGTGTAAAAGGTGGATTGGTCTGATGTCACTACCTCCACATCACACAAATGTTTGGAGGCATATGCCTTATACAGGTAATCACTAAGCTTCCCATCATGCTTTAGGCTTACAAGTACATCCATTTTCCTTTCCTCTGCAACAGGTATAATGTCTACAATTTTCAAAATACCATATGTGTTTTACATGAATTTAGTGTGTACAATATTCATGATATTTGGTGGTAATTAATTGGCTTTACAACAAATTGGTGAAGATAATCTTGAATTAGTACATTACTAAATGTACTAGAATTAAATGTTTTAAATGTGTTTATACCAGACAACTAACTAATACATAAAATAAAATTTTTTGCTATGCATTACAATATTTAACGTAATTATTTCACACACAAGAACTGGACTTTGAGGTATTTTTACTTATTCTTCCTTGAAAATTACCTTGATACATAGAGATATTTGAGACTTTACATAGGATACAAATTTCCAGTTGGGGACTTGGGGTTATAAATTTCGAAGGATAAAACCAGAGACCTCGGAATAGAATACCCGTACTTTTTAGTCTCTGGTTTTATCCTACCACCAATCGGAAGTTTTATCCCATCTAAGGTCTTAATATGTATCAAGGAAATTCTGAGGAGTAAATTAGTTTACAATAAAGAACCTTGACCAGAGACATCTGAAATAATTTCTATGACAAGAAAAAAAGTCTCTCAAAGCAAACAATGTCATTTTAAAGTAGCTATGTTAATGATTGATATATAAACAAAATATGAGATGGAAGCTGGCCCAGTGGGGTGCCTAAAATGGAGTTAGATATTTTATTGTAAAAATTAGTAGGGGTGCCCCATATAGGAAACAAGTGCCTGTGCTATACATCCCTAAATCTTTGTTTCTGGGCTTATTAAATACTCAAACGTTATAAATCTGATTTGACTGGATATATCAGGAAATAATTAAAGGGGCTTACTGGGGTTTTATTGTGTGAAAACTACAACAGCGAAACTCTTCATTTTTATACCAAATATAACTCACATTAACTTCAGTGTACATGCAAAGTTTGGGCGAAATCTAGCGTCCAGGTATTTTTAGGGACCGTCTCAAAATATAGGTACATTTACTATAGGATTATATAAGAAAGTGCCAATTTTTAGCACTTCAAAGCAAATTATTTATACAAATACTACAATATACTTTTTGGTCAAACTATAATATTTGATAGTAATATTATATTTTACATTATGTGTAAGAAACACAAAATTCTACCTTCTTGTTACCAGAGGGGACATCTCAAAAGACCAAAAAATTAACAAATTTTCCTGTTTTTATACAATTGTACAGAATATGACTGGCACAAAGGTATTATATGTAAAAATAATAAGAATAATTAGATTCTCAAATTTCTATGTTTTAAATTTCAAGAGCGTATATTTATTACTTTTTATTTAATAACATTTTTCTGCCCCCGTTTCTTTAAAAGCTTCAGTTTATCATAACGTCAAAAACACACTATAACAACGTCAACCTACCTATCAATTTCAAACCTGTAATTTCTTAATTTTATTTAATTTTATTAATTAGGGGAAGAAAGTTGCTTTAAAACAGTAAATACGCTTCATTTTACTATAATGCGCGAAATTTTGCGCAGTGAAAACTACAGTCGGCCCCCTTAAAATAATGCCGCACTTGATTTTGCCCTGGTTGGATTTCACATCTCAGACAGCTCTTCTATTCATTCAATAACCTAAAAATCTAGGTATCTGTGTAAACGTATCTTTATTTGACAGATAATTTTTTATCAAAGGAATTTCATTCTAGGCCAATCTTTTACGCCTAGTTACAATTCACATGATCCTTTAAGAGGATATAGGGAGCTGTCAAATCTATTAAATCAAAGTATATGACAAAATGCACAAGTTTTAAAAAAAATGCAATTCTCAGATTCTAAAACGACGCCATTTTGATAACCTTCTTTGACCCGTACTGTACACTCATTTTTGGGCATTTTTAAATAGATTAATTAGTGATTGCTAGGGTATTAGCATTTAAAATACATTAAGGATCACTACTTTCATGTGAAATAAAGACAATTCTCTTATACCCTTGTATCTGCTTTGATTCCTCTTTCACCCCATCACCAACTTCTGTTCTGCGTGCAAGAGTTTTAGCGCCCCCTGTAGGAATTGTGAACGCGTACGGTTTTGGAGTTTAGAATGCATATTGTATTTCCAGTTAAACGTCACTGGCATATTTCACAAGCACGTGTTGACAGTTTTCCATCAAAATAGCTCAGCGATGGACTTCTCCCTGGGAGAAACATCCAAAACAACGAACCTCATGTTAGTATGATTTCAAAAAATGTCATTTAACGTTAATACCTAATGGTTAAAGTTGTTAATATCAATATAGATGAACTTAAAAATTTACACCTTTAGTTCCCCTCTATCATTGGGTAATGTTTGTATGTCCTAATGGTATAGCAGTAGGTTACAAATATTTAATTCTTTTTTCTTCTCATTAAATCTAGCTAGCCCATAGATAAACTATAGCTTCTTCTTGCTTGATACACAGAGGTCTACTCCTGGCATACATGTAACTGTTGTGTTCATTGTGTTATTTATAGATGTATGACATCACAGTGGTCATTTAAACCCCTGTCCCTTTTCTATTTATATCTTGTGTAGTGTCAGGGCCAACTTGGATTTCATTGGTTGGTTAGTTTCCCTCTCTTTTGGTTTTAGCTTAGTTAAATACTTTGGTTTGAGATCTTGGTCTGACCAGCAGACATATTGGTTTTGTTTATATGTTTGTCCATTTTCTATATTGACTTATTTACGACCATGACCAAGACTGGACAGAATATCACTGAGTAAGATTTCACTCATCATATTGTATATTTGGAGTATTGGCTTTATATCACATATAGAGCTGTGATAATACTGATTGAATATACATTTATCCACATCTACAACATGGTGTTTGTGTTAATTTACTTATAAAACGAACCCCATTTCAATGGCATCCCCCTGGAGCCTCCACATTGAAATGGGGTTCGTTTTATAAGTAAATTAACACAAACACCATGTTGTAGATGTGGATAAATGTATATTCAATCAGTATTATCACAGCTCTATATGTGATATAAAGCCAATACTCCAAATATACAATATGATGAGTGAAATCTTACTCAGTGATATTCTGTCCAGTCTTGGTCATGGTCGTAAATAAGTCAATATAGAAAATGGACAAACATATAAACAAAACCAATATGTCTGCTGGTCAGACCAAGATCTCAAACCAAAGTATTTAACTAAGCTAAAACCAAAAGAGAGGGAAACTAACCAACCAATGAAATCCAAGTTGGCCCTGACACTACACAAGATATAAATAGAAAAGGGACAGGGGTTTAAATGACCACTGTGATGTCATACATCTATAAATAACACAATGAACACAGGTTGATGTAAATAATTCCATGTGGATTTATTCAATAAATGAAATGCTGAAAAGAAATAAATATGATAATTCAACTGAATTAATTTAATCGTGAAATACAATAATTAATATAAGATATAAATCACCCTATCACATACTTCCCCTCTTCGTGAAATGACGTCCTCGTCATTTACTATTTCATAAAGAAATAACGACTGTAAAATAAAATAAAATCATAAAAGCATAGAATATCACTAAGAACTATATACACTTACCTAACTGATTTAACTGACTGACTTAACTGACTTTCTGTACTTGTCTAACTAATTCTTACCTGTAATAATGTCTATCAGAGCCTTTTCTACTAGTTCCTTACTGTTGCTGGAATGAAATACATTACTGGAAGCTAAAGTCTGTAAATAATTAGCCCTTTTCTCCCAGTCTGGTTGTTGTTTCGCAATCTGTTGATTTACTACATAATCTCCACTGGTGATCCATGATGTTGTTTTCTTTGTCCTCTGAGATCTTCTAGGTACTGTCTGCTGTTCATGAGCTGAATGTTCCTCAGAATTGGTATCATCCAAATCATCATCATCAGCTTCAGCTTCGGCTTGCTGCTGTGTATCTGCAGACGGTTCTATTTCCTTCAAGTCAGTGTCTTCTGTAATAGTAGCTACTGAAGTACCTGTGTCATCAACTTGTTCAGCAGGTGAAGGCATACCGGCATTACCCTCATCTTCAGCGCTCTCTTCCTCATTGGCCAATATATTTTCTTGTGGATTACTTTCTATCTCAGGAGCAGGTGTACTATCACTGCTATTTGCAGTGAAAGCTGCCTCCTGTATCAGAATTTCCTCATCGCTGCTCTCCGAGTCACTGTTATCCTTATTTGAGGTAGTCAGTTGCTTGGTTCTTCTTGTGACTCTAGGCTTTATCCTTTTCCTAGGTGCTGGCTTAGGCCTTTCTGTTTGTAAATCAACATCTAAGTGTCCGATTGGTAGCAAAAGGTTCCGATGTAAAGTTCTTTTACAGGTGTTGTTGCTTTCTTTTCTCACTATGTACACAGGAACATCCTTGTTTGGTTGACTCTGCACTATATATGGCTCTTCTTCCCATTTATCTGATAATTTGTGAGTGCCTTCAAACGCAACAATCTTGACCAATACTCTGTCTCCTGGTTGTATCACAGCATCTCTCGCCTTAATGTCATAATGCTTCTTCTGTCTTCCCTGGGCGTTCTGGATAGATTTCTGTGCCAAATGGTATGAATGTTCTAATTTAGATTTCAAAGATTTGATGTAGGAATTCAGGTTTTCATGTTGATTTGGTTCATCTGTTTTGAAAATGAGATCTATTGGAAGTCTAGGTTCTCGTCCAAACATAAGAAAGAAAGGTGATTGTCCTGTTGTTTCCTGTTTCATCGAATTATAGGCATGAACTAAAGTTGAAATGTGAGACTTCCAATCCTGTTTTTGGTAGTTTTCAAGTGTTCCTAACATCTTGAGAAGAGTCCTATTGAAGCGTTCTGTTAAGCCATTGCCCATGGGGTGGTAAGGCGTTGTTCTCGACTTGCTAACTCCAAGAATGTTGCAGAGCTCCTGTATGATCTTTGATTCGAAATTTGCACCCTGATCACTGTGTAGTCTCAAAGGTATTCCATAATGGACAATAAAATGATGGTATAATGCCTCAGCTGTTTGGTTGGCAGTTTGGTTCTTTGTAGGTACAGCCTGAGCAAATCGAGTAAAATGATCAGTGATGACTAGGATGTTTTCGTATCCTCCTTTTGATTTCTCTAGTTTAAGATAGTCTACGCACACAAGTTCTAACGGTTGCGATGTTTTGATGTTTATAAGGGGAGCTCTTGTTGTTGGTGTTTTCCTTAAGAGACATCTTCTACAGTTTGAAATAAAATGTTCTGTGTCTGTTGTCATTCCGAGCCAATAGAATCTATCCCTTAATAAGCTGATGGTTTTCTCTCGGCCTGGATGTCCCATGTCAGTATGTAGATGGTATAATACTGTTCCAATGCATGATCTAGGTAAAAGTATCTGGGATTTCTTTCTGTCATTCACCATTGTTTCTCTAATGAGTATCCCGTCTCGTAGTCTAAGTTTGTCAAAATTCTTGTGTAGTAAAGCATGGTATTGCATGTTGTTGTATGGTAGATGGTGTTTTGCTGGCTTGTACTGATCTCGTACGTACGGTATCCAAAATCTTAACACTGGGTCATTGTACTGATGACGACGAACATCAACTTCTGTCTGATCACTCAAGTCTGGTAGGTTGTCAACTGATGATGGAGATATGGACAAGCATTGTACATAGGGGTGATTGGATACAGCTGAGTTGCATATGGTTTTAATGGAATCAGATGTTATGACTTCCTGGTTTGGTATCCTGCTTAGTCCATCTGCATCTGCATTGTGTGATCCGGGTCGATACAATATCTCAAAGTTAAAGTTGGCCAGATCTGCAATCCATCTTTGGCTCGTCGCATCAAGTTTCGCTGATGTTAACACATACGTGAGTGGGTTATTGTCTGTGTAAACCTGGAATGTTCCTCCATATAAGTAGTCTCTGAATTTTTCGCATACCGACCATTTTAGAGCCAGGAACTCCAATTTATGAACAGGGTAGTTCTTCTCTGATTTTGACAAACTCCTGCTAGCATAGGCTATAACCCGTTTGAAGTTGTTCTGCGTCTGATATAATACAGCGCCAATGCTTGATGATGAGGCATCTGTATGAAGTTCAAAGGGTAAGGAGTAATTGGCGAATCCTAGAATTGGATATGTTGTGAGTTTCTCCTTAAGTTTGTTGAAGGCTTGTTCCTGCTCACTACCCCATCTCCACTTGTCTGATTCTTTTGATGTCCTAACACCCTTTCTGGATTTCTTCTTTGTATTTGGTAGGAGGTCATTCAATGGGCGTGCTATTGTTGAAAATCCCTCGATGAATCTCCGATAATACCCAACAAAACCCAGGAACTGGCGAACTTCATCTGAGTTTCTTGGTTGCGGCCAGTTCTGTACCTTGCTGATCTTTTCCGGATCTGGTTCTATCCCCTCCTCACTCACAATGTTTCCTACGTATTTCACTTTGCTCTTAAAGAATTCGCACTTCTTTGGTGATAGTTTAAGATTTACTTCTCTTAGTCGTTGAAAAATCTTTTCCAAACGTTCTAAATGTTCTTCGTATGTCTTGGAGAAGATTATCAAGTCATCCAAGTAGATGAAGCATATATCCAGGTGTAACCCTTCAAAGCATTCCTCCATAAGCCTTTGGTATGTAGCAGGTGCGTTGACTAGACCGAATGGCATGCGATGGTATTCATAAAAGCCTAAAGGTCCAACTGTAAACGCAGTTCTTTCCTTGTGACTTTCATGTAACTCAACCTGATGGTACCCACTTTTCATATCTAAGATGGTAAAGAATCTATTTCCTGCTAACGCATCCAGTATTTCCTCTATCCTTGGTAACGCATAGGAGTCTTTCTTTGTCCTAAGATTTAGCTGGCGATAATCTACACACATGCGTAGTTCATTGTTTTTCTTGCGACAAAGGACAACGTTACTTGACCATGGTGACTTTGACTTCCTGATAATTCCTCCTTCTAATAGTTTCCTCAAGTGATCTTTAACCTCTTCAAACATGGCTGGTGGTATTCGCCTCGGTCTTTGTTTAAAAAGGGACAGGGGTTTAAATGACCACTGTGATGTCATACATCTATAAATAACACAATGAACA